TCTGTTCCACATAGATGGAAAAAAGGAGACATCATTCATATTCACTAAATATAGTGTCCAAAAAAAATTTCGCAGCATTAGCAACTCACAGTAGACAGCAGGTTCTGTTGTACATGCGTTATATGAATGATTGTCAACAGGTTCATATGAAATAGAAATGCTTACTCCATAAACACTGTACAAAAGGGGAGGACAAAATTAGCATTTTTCCATAAATGGAAAACCATATGGAACAATATGATTTTGCAATATATCTTGTATATATGTACCAATATGACATTTTATATCAGTGAAATCCAAAGATGAACTTAATATAATACTAACAAGAATATCCTAATACTTTCCACCAGCAATGAACTCATTTAGCGTTACAGTGGTTGTATCCTAACATCTATTACACAATAATTCTGAGACACTGCTGCAGAGCCACTTGAGCTCTAGCTTCTCCTCCTATAAGCTGTTTTAATGCGTACACCCACCCCACCCCACCCCACCCCACCCCTAAAGCCTGGTTTATACTTCTGCGTCAAGTGACCGGCGTAACACACGGCGCATGCAACGAGCGTAGCTGTGCATTTGTACTTCTGCGCACTGTCTCTGCTGGACTGCATTAAAACTTCTGAAACACTAGTTGGCAGTGAGGTGTTAATGTGTCTCTGTATCGAGTTTCTTCAGTGGTGTTTTGTTTTTTCTGAACACTTCCTGAATGTACAAGTGGCTCAAACTCGCTCATTTTGTGGCAGGAACCAGCGGACGTGCAACAACTTTAACTATGAGGTAAACATAAAACAAAACTTTCCATCCAGAGCTCCTTCACGGGACTCCACACTTGTAAACAATCGCTTCATCGGGCTCTCAGTCCCGCCCTGACTCGTCAGCGCTACCAAGCCGACCAATCACAGAGCTTGCACTATGCGTCGTTGTGACGTGTAGGTACATTTTTTGAGAGGTGCACGTCAGCGACGCCGACGGCCTAGGCATAGGGCTATGCGTCTGGGCGGGATCGAGAGCCGCGCGAGCGCGATTTTTTACAAATGTGGAGTCCAGTGAAGGAGCTCCAGATGGAAAGTTTTGCTTTGTGTTTACCTTATGGTTTACGTTGTTGCATGTCCGCCGGTTCCTGCCTCAAAATGAGCGAGTTTGAGCCACTTGTACATTCAGGAAACATTCAGAAAATACAAAATACCAGCGAAGAAACTCGACACAGAGAAAAATTAACACCTCACTGCAACTAGCGTTTCGTAGGTTTTATTGCAGAGCAACTAGCAGTGGGTTACGTCGATCACTTGACGCAGAAGTATAATCCAGGCTTAACCCCAACACCCAGTGACATCACTCTTAGAAGAAGTGCAAGGAAGGAGGAGCTAGAGCTCAAGCTCCTCCTTGCTAGAGCTCAGCTCTGCAGTGAGCATCACACCTATTACACAATACTTCTTGCCTATCCAGTGTTGAAATAATTGGCTTTATGTCGACCCCTAATCTTTGTTGGCGCTCTGAACTTAACTCGAAGGTTACAGAATTGAGTAAAATGAAATAATCTTAAGAACAACAAAACTGTGGCAGAAGATGACTGACTGCACTTAAAGATTGCTGCTTCGGTATATGTTTATGGGAGACATAATATTGTCATATAAAGAAATGTAGTGCTGTCAAAGGATTAATCGCAATTAATCACATCTAAAACAAGTATATATTTGAGAAAATGTTTATTTTTATTTATAATCACATCATATATACATGTATATATTTACATGTATATACACACATACACATATGTATATACATGTACACATTCACGTATATACTGTACATATACTCACACACACACACATGTATATATTAGAGAAAATGTTTATTTATATTTATATTTTTTATAATTTTATAATACAAAATACTCATAAATATAAATGTAAATATTTTGTCTTAATTTTTTATGTATTTTATTATTTTTTAAATGTATATATACACAATATGTATACACCGTGAGTAAACACACATTATGTACATATAAACTCTTATTTTGGATATGATTAATCATTTGACAGCACTAATAAAAATATGTGAAGATTTTAATTAATATCTCTTGATTAAACCTCATTGATGACCACTGATAAATTGCGACTATTTTGAATTTCATAAGGTTCCTCTTACAGCATCTTTAATATAATTTAATTCAAATATAATCAGTTAAACAGACTTTTAGTTTCTTTTAATAGTTAAAAACATTCATTTAGTTGTTGAAGCGTAAAACAAGATGAAAGGCCATTTAAATGTAAGCGCCGTCAGGAGCAGCAGCTGAGTGCTGAAACTCCATTGAAAATACTGTGGTACAACAAATGTCCATATTTTAAAGACATGGTATGGAATAATGTCATTTAATGCAGTGCTTTTTGTCCGGTCAGAGACCCTCCTTATATCATATCTCAATCAGGCAGCGAAGATCATTGATTTTAAGCTAATCAGATCTTAAACGCTGCGCTTTTACAACAGCATGACAGAAATATTTAAAGATACATGTGCCTCGGTTAGCTAGTGGTGCTTATTGCTATGAGAGCTAATAATGTAGCAAATTAGCAGGAATTTGTGGAGTTTAGTATGTGAAACATTGAAATAAAGTAGTATTTAATAAAAATCTATGATGCTATGCAGGGTTTTTAGCAGAGGTGTGTGGATATAATAGTTCATTATATTCACACGGAGCATCAACATCAATGCTTCCCATTTACATTGAATGAGTAACGTCAAGCATTGCTGAACTGAATTCTGGACCCATCTACGATACTTTTGGGCGTTGCTCGCTGCAGAAGTTGGGAATTTCTCCAAGTTTCAAGCACCAACAGAAGCATCAGCTAATCAGACCACTTTCATGCAAATACACCAGCTCAGACAGTCGGCGATTGTGAACTAATTTCATTGGCTGACGATGCTATGATGATTGCGTCAGCCCAAACTTCAGACATGACCTTCGTCAAGCGTTGACGCTGAAGCCCCGAGTGAATCGGACGTTATCAAGGCAACCTAAACCTAACAACATAGGAAATTAACTTCTAATAAAATTATAATATTATTAATAAAAATAATAGTCAATGTAATACAATACAGTATACAGCAAAGGGCCTGTCCACACGAACACAGGTATTTTCAAGACCACACTTTTTTTTTCTACACGGTTTCTTTGTTCTTCACAAGAAACAAGAGCATCGTCTGACTGAAACCGAAACTTTCTGAAAACCTTGGCCAGGGTGAAGATTTTCCAAAACTCTGAGTACAGTATGGTCGTGTGGACGCTGCAACTAGAGTTTTTACCTTATGACCTCAGCATGCTTGCTGTTTTCTCCTTTCTGATTGGCCGACACGGCTGGGTTTACACCAAACACAGAAGACATGAATGAGGTAATTCCGCACTTTTTCATAGCAAGCATGTTGCATATTTCACATTGTTCACGTCGCAGGATGGTAATCTGCCTCTGTTCTCACGTTTGCGTTGACTTGTATGCAGGTTACTTGTGGAAATACTTAATTTTGCATTTGGTGTGAACTCTTTGGTGTAAGCATTAAAGTGTCATTATCGGCCCCTGTTGGTTCGGCGTGCCCTTAATATGCATCAAAGTGTGTTTTTGCATTTTCATGTGGACAATTATTATTATTTTAAATGAAAATGGAGAAAAAATATGAAAATTCCCATGTATGTATGCACATGACCTAAGAGATCACTTCAAATTCAGCTTTTTTGAATTTTACAAATAACAGTTTGAGTAAAATGTAATGATGTTTTTTCTTCTGTAATGTACTGATCACATTTCTTCCAAATCTAAAACAAATATTGTGCAATTTAGAGAAAAAATTACGATGTTTAAATGTTAACTAATGTTTTAATGCTTGTTTAATTTGAAATCAAACACAGTGTTTTAACTTCAGAAGAGTTCAATTACAAAAAATTTAATTACTTTTATGCTGTGTTCACACTATTCACGCGTAAATAGACGCATCAACATTTTGAGTTTACTTGCTTCATTCATTTGTCAAATTCTCTTCACAATAGACATAGATTTGCTTCTGTCTGCCTGGTGACTCTAGCTTTGTTGCTAAATGGCTTACATGGATTTTATTGAAAGAATAGCTGTGTTTATGTGCTTTATGAAGGCTGAAAAACAGCGTAGATTTGTTTGGCGTCATGTCTGAGTCCACTAGATCCTTTCATAGCTGTGTGAGCTCATAAACTCCTCCAGAAACTATACCTGGATGATGGAGGCTTTCAGCGGTGCTTCAAACTGAGCTGAGCCCAGTTTAATGAGCTTTTGTCCGCGTCAGCAGCAGGATTTCCCCTCAAGACACCAACAACAGGCACTATGTCATAATTACGCCCCTACAAGAGCAAGCTCCTGATTGGTTACCGCAGAGCGAATATCCGGTGAAGTTCAGATTTTCCAACTCAAGCGATTCACGTGTTAAGCGTGTCAAACGCACTAAAAGCTTAACTTGCTCCACTCCATTCGCCGAATTGTGTCATACGCGCCGCCTCATTCGCACGAATAGCGTCGCAAGATGTGTATTCGCGTCTTTGCATTGACTTAACATGCAAATCACTCACGCTTGATGCTTCATCCACATCTGTTGTGAACGCAGCATTAGAAAAGGAACTCTTTTGAGGTTAACATTTTTTTACAAATCTTTTTTTTTTTTTAAATTAAAATTAAGAAGAAATGCTAAATTTTACTCAAACCTATAACTAATAGAATCCGAGGAATTGCAAGTGTTTTCTATTTTTCATAGCTGATAAGTATATATGCATGTATGTATGTATGTATGTATGTATATATATATATATATATATATATATATATATATATATATGTATGTGTGTGTATATATACACACACACACATACATATATACACACACACACATATATATATATATATATATATATATATATATATATATATATATATATATATATATATATATATATATATATACATACATATATATATCCATACATACATACATGAGGGGAAACCAGAGCACCATATATAAGGTAAAATGTTTTGCTATCAACAAGCAATTAACTCCTGATTTTTTGCTTATTAATGGTCAGTAATGAAGTTGTTGGGTATATGTATTCAGTATAAAACATATCTTATACTAATAAAGAGCCAATATCTTAATAATAAGCAGGTAATAAACCTGTAGTTAATAGAGGGAACTGGTAGTTAAACTAAAGTGTTACTATATACAGTACATATTTAAAATAGTAAACTATCTAAATGACAATGTGAGAAAGACCTTTTTTGGCATCACTTCCACGTTCATACTTTTTCCTGGATTTCAAACTCCGCAAACTTCTGCTCTTCTCATTGGCTGTCTGTCCCACGCCGCAGCAGAAGTCGGTAAATGTCAAGCGGTGGTTTTAAGTTTGTCCAGTTCCCCTTGAAGTTCGTCTTTGTGCTCTGATACAATGAAGACAGTGTCATTTGGTGTTAAGTGATCTGCACACTTGCTGTATATGAGCGTGCAGAAAAGCGAAAGGCGGTATAAACGCAGTCTGTAGAGAAGTATAAAATGCGGTATTCAGTGTTAGTGGATGCACCGTCAGTGCCAGTGTATAGACATGACAGCGGTTCTGGCTCATACAGGCCTGCTGATTGGATAATAGTTGTTTCTGTCCGTATCTGCGATCTGAAGGCTGGGTTTGCGTTCAGTGTCTGCGTTTTCAGCGTTTTCCACATCCGGGCAGCGAGGAGGACGCTCCTTGAAGAAGTCCGAGATATATCTCACCTGTGACAGAAAGAGATTTAGATTAGATTAGATTGATTATTTTGTGATTGTCAACTCTGTTAGTGGATTCAAAAGGTGAACGATAAGTTTAATCAGAAACAGAATCAAATGTTTCTTTACTGTTACTTTACATTATTAATGGATTTAGTTTACTTTAAATTATACATTTGCTGCATTTCATTCTTGAGGAAGCACAGTGTCTCAGTGGTTAGCACTGTCGCCTCACAGCAAGAAGGGGGGCAGGTTCGAGTCCCGGCTGGGTCAGTTGGCATTTCTGTGTGGCGTTTGCATGTTCTTCTCGTGTTGGCGTGGGTTTCCTCCGGGTGCTCCAGTGTCCCCTCACAATCCAAAGACATGCGGTACAGGTGAATTGGATTAACTGAATTGGCCATAGTGTAGGAGTGTGTGTGAATGAGTTTGTATGGGTGTGTCCCAGTACTGGATTGTGGCTGGAAGGGCATCTGCAGTGTAAAACATACAGTATGATGGAATGGTTCATTCCGCTGTGGCAACCTCTGGTAAATAAAGAACTAAGCTGAAGAAAAATTAATGAACGAATGATGCATTTCATTCCAGTTTTAGAAAAAATGATGGAAAATTGTTTGAAATGTTCTAGAATGAGTCATACACACACACACACACACACACACACAAACTGACAATTGTATATATACAACTTTAATTTGTTAATATATTATATTACATTCATTTATATTAGTCGTGGGCCGTTATCGGTGTTAACGTGCTGCGTTAATGCGAGACTCTTATCGGGCGATAAAAAACATGTCGCCGTTAACCTATTCTCAAAGTGAGGAAGGGAGCTGAGTCTATTCTACGCAAGCTATGATGACTTTCACCTTAATTTTTTAGCGCGGATGTATACCTGACCAGTGAGCCATCTGACAAAACAGTGCCCTTCTGAATCAAGTCAGCAGGATGCCCCTCTGGATATTTCACTTACTTTGAAGACACGACTGACTACACTTACATATTTGCCTTAATAGACAATAATATAATTAAGGTGCTTAAGTGAAGTGCTTTCATGTAAGTTTCCTGTAATTTTGGGTGGCAGTTTGGCAGTTTCATATTCACTCATGAACATTTCATTCATGCCCCCGTGACAATCGGGGGTATTAGACACAAATAGGGAGTAAGGACTGGTGAGAGTGTCATGGAATTCAATAACACACACCAACTGGAAAGAAAAAACTTCTGTGTGTGTGAGTGTGTGTGTGGTCCTTTACTGACAGCTGCGTGTGTGGATCAAAAATATAGCGAAAGTCCTGCATGACAGTAAATGCTTTTCACTTTCCGTACTTGATGGAATATCCTGGATATCACAAGGTATTTTGCCAAAAAAGACAGGTAACCAAATTAAATTTTTTGGGGGGCTAGAGATGGGTTACACATAGCCGGACTAGATTGGGTCTACTCTTTACAGAGAAAGTGAAATTACGTCTATTACTTGTAGGTACCTAAACGTTATTGACTTTGCTTACATGATGGAGCATCATAGATATCATAAGCTTAATTTTGCAAAAAAAAAACAACATGCAACCAAATTTAAGGTTATTTGGGCTAAATTTGGGTTACACATAGCTGGACTAGATCTGCTTGATAGTTCACCTAGATGGTGAAATGACGGCTGTTGCTTGCTGGGTGATAGTTTGATTGTGGTGTTTACTTCAGTAATGCCACTAATATCTGCATACTACATGTGTCCTAATTCCATTTCTGTTTAGTTCAGTTATGACTTTAGTCGCATTAAAATAATCAAAAATCGCTGTTTGGAGCTTATGTAAGCCTTCATGTTTAACTGAATATACAGTTAGTAAACACAAGTACATCTTATTGAACATCGTTTATTTTCATCACCAGTTATCATAGTAGGACAGTTTCTCAAGCAGTTTGTGATGCATTTTGGAAACAGGAGATGAGCCCCTGGTCTAATGCGCCACCTGGCTTGAGAAACCCGATCTCAAAGACTTACATTTAGTCATTATTTGGGTAGCACACATTTTCTAAATGCCTTCGGCAGAATTCAAATGAGCCATTTTAATCTACAATAATCTAGATTAAATCCAAGATTACAGTGAGATTAATCTAAATTTAAAAAATGATCTATGCCCACCTATAATATCAATAAAGAACTTTTAAAGTTTTAGGCACTTGTGTAAAAATGCTGTAAAGGGATGTATGTATGAGGATAGTTTCAAAAATAATGCATGAATAGATTTTATTTATCATTTTACTTATATTAACTGATCGCACTTTGCATTTAAAACACTTAAGACATTTTTTTCTGGTAGCTTTACAGGTAGGCTTTTTAAAGCATCTTAGAGCTGTTGCCAAAATTCTTCTGGATTTAATTTGTTCTGTTTCTTCATGTCACTCTAGACAGACTGGATGATGATCAGATCAGATCTGTGTGTGTTCTCAGACAATAATTTTACAGTAGAATTGAAATTAATGACAAAAATAATGTAAATTGATATTTCAAATCAGAACAATTAAACCCCCTTTATTTTTTTTTTTTACATTTCTTTTAAATATTTCCCAAATTATGTTTAACAGAGCAAGGAAATGTTCACAATATGTCTGATAATATTTTTTCTTCTGGAGAAAGTCTTATTTATTTTATTTCGGCTAGAATAAAAAAAGTTTAAAAATTTTTACAAGCCATTTTACAGTCAAAACTATTTAAGCCCCTTTAAGCTAATTTTTTTTGATAGTCTACTGAACAAACCATCGTATTACAATAACTTGACTTATTATCCTAACATGCCTAGTTAACATAATTAAGCCTTTAAATGTCACTTTAAGCTGTGTAGAAGTGTCTTGAAAAATATCTAGTAAAATATTATTTACTGTCATCAGGGCAAAGATAAAACAAATCAGTTATTAGAAATGAGTTACTAAAACTATTATGTTTAGAAATGTGTTGAAAAAAAAATCTTCCTCCGTTAAACAGAAATTAGGGAAAAAAATAAACAGGGGGGCTAATAATTCTGACTTCAACTGTGAGTTTATATATATATATATATATATATATATATATATATATATATATATATATATATATATCCTCCGGGTGCTCTGGTTTCCCCCCAGTCCAAACAAATGCGCTATAGGTGGATTAAATAAATCAAATTGGTCGTAGTGTATGAGTTTGAATGAGTGAGTATAGATGTTTTCCAGTACTGGGTTGCAGCTGGAAGGGCATCCGCTGTATAAAACATATGCTGGATAAGTTGGTGGTTCATTCCGCTGTGGTGACCCCTGATGATTAAAAAGACTAAGCCGAAGGAAAATGAATAAATGAATGAGAACATACATATTTGAAAAAGAAAACAATAAATATAACAATAACAACAAGTAACAGGATGGTTCTTGCTTCTTCACAATGAAAACAAAATTACTAGTTTTGCAACCGCATTTATTTTCTATAAGCAAGCTTTCATTTCCGTATTTTCTACTCTTGTTTTTACAGTAAACTTAAGCAACAGTCTCACCGTGAGAACAGCGACCAGTGCCCCCTGCAGGAGACCCACCACCACGTCACTCCAGTGGTGTTTGTAGTCCGACACGCGTGTGTATCCCACATAAATGGCAAAGGCCACCAAGAAGAACTGAATTGTGGGCCGGAGGAGACGAGCCCATTTGGATGCCAGACGTGCCTGAACATAGAGCTGCACAAAACAACCACAGATGACACAACATTCACAGGGGATATGGGAAATAGTATCAATGTAATCAAAACTAAGCAAACTGACTTTTTAAGCTCACATTGCTAGTTTTGTGGGAACAACTCATCTGTGCATGCCATTAAGAAAGTGCTTGTAGACTTTAGTTAAATCCTCAGATTATGTCTGTCTGAGGTATTGGGCGGGGCTAACACACTTAACCACGCCCCTCCAGCTGTCAGTTTTGACAGCAAACAGAAATGGTGAGCGGGAGGAGGAGTCTGTTAGGTTGTATTAAGTCTCCCCAAACACTTTTTTACAGATCATTCTGAATGAAATGCCTACTTTACTACTAGAGCTGTGAACCTACACTGGTCTCACGGTTCGGTTACGATTATCATGCCATCGATTCGGTTCAATTCGATATTTCGGTGCATCACGGTGCATTGACGATGCTTTTCATACCCAGTTTTATATTTTCTTCACAGCAGCAGTTCTTGTATTAAAATGTATGAATATATTTATATTTATATACTCTTTGTAATACAATTTTGTCATTTAATACAAACAGTCAGATATACAAACTGTAACTTTAAACAAAACGAGCATTTAGCAAATAATATAAACAAAAATAAATATCCAGCTCACTCTCTTATCCTTGTCTAGTTCTCTTACACCCCTTTGATTGGTCACACCCTCAACAAAAAAACGGTTGCGATTGGCTCTTGGCGCTGCGCTCTACACAGATGAGTGATAAGCGGCAGCGGCGATCTCACAGCTGTGTGATGTGATGTGATGTCACATCATGTGATGTATGATAGACACGGTGGAGAAAACTCTGCAGACACACGCTCGTTTCTTTATCCAGAAGTAACGCTGTAAAACAGCCGAGAGGAGAAGAAAAGCCATGCCAGCAGGTCAAATGGGCCACTTTGTGTGTGTGTGAGAGAGAGTGCGAGGGAGAGAGAGAAATGGAGTATTTTTATTCTCTCAATCTCAGTAAAATAGGGGCTTTTGCTGTTAATGTCAGTGAAAGACTGATCCAGCAAACACACACAGTGAAATTGTGCACAGTTTATGAGTTTTAAGTAGTTAGAGAGCTGTAAATACTCACGCTCGCCTTCCTTGCGACAGAGCGCATATGAGGTAAAAGACGTCAAGAATAACCGGTTATAATTATTACTAAATCGATACCGAATTGTCCGCGTCTGCATCGCGGTGCACAGAAGAAACGATTAATTTTGACACCCCTATTTACTACATCCAATCAGCTCGCAGTAGAAAAACAAGCCACACCCACTGTTTGCTCATTTAACATTTTGTTTCTCTTGGAACAGTCACAATATGGAAAAAAAAGGTTGCAGTTTCCAGTTCATGTGGACTTTAAAAATCCTGTGTAATTAAAATCAAAATAACTAGTGTAACTGTATTAATTAGCTAGCTAATTATATTAACTAGTGTGCTTTAAAACCGTGACAAAATTCACGTTAAGAAAATGTAAAACCGATCTAAATCTTGCAGTTCGTCACTTCCTCTTAAATGATTTTTTTGATGTCACCTCATACTTCAGTTTCTCATCAAATCTTCTGACCAATCAGATGCTCTCTAGTATCTGACATGCCCCGCCCCCTTCTTCTTATTTGCTTTATAATTTGATGCGCTTGATTCTCACTGGCAGAGCTGTGATAAAACCAAATGCTATTGGCTGTTTTTCTAAAGGCGAGGAGCTACACAATGCCGTCCCTCTCCTAATTTCAGTTAGGATTACTTCAAACAGCAACTAAAAAATGCACAATTCAAAAACCTTTAACATTAAATAGGAGGAAATGAGTTATATGCCACTGTCTGTTATGGGAAAGCACCTAATGAGAATAAGACTCACTTCTTGACTACTGACACGTCTGAACATGAGTGAAACTGGAGAGTTTATTAAAGACCCCGCATGTTGGCCAGAACCCTTATGACTTCCTTTCTTCTGTGGATCACTTACACTGAGAGAAGGAAATGTCATGTGGGTTTTGAGAAGACATGAGTGAGAGTAAATAATAAATAAGCTGTACTTTTAGGGCAAATTGATCATTAATCTAATTTGTTCAGGGTTTAGGTTCATTAGGTAAAAGTCTATATTAGTGGTCCATTGACACATTCTTTCAAGAGATGCATTAAACACTTTGATTCATCCAGTAACAAAACAATTGATTTTTTTTTAAACAAATAAATCACTAAATCTTTTTATTCAAGATATTTGTTCAAAAAAGATGATTCAACCCTAGATATTAAATTGAATTAGTGAAGTCTTCTTTGGTGACTCGTTAAATCATTTGTTTAAGAGATTTGCTCAAAAATGTAGATCAGTAATGTCTGAATTAAAAAGTCATTCAAGCTTTTCAAGATTTTAAAACAAACATCACAACTCTGTTTTGACTCTCAGACTCGTGCAGCTCTTGATTTAAAGCTGGGCACTCTGGGAATGTGTTTGGCTGTAGTTTATGGTCTCGGTCGCGTTTCCTGTGATTTCTTTATCTCTCTGCACTGCTCTCTGTGTCAGCATGATTGCAGGAGAGGAAGAGAAGTGTGAAAACTCACCGCCAGAAACAACATGCAGTACATCCCGAATGAGGAGTGACCCGAGTAGAAGGACAACCTACAGGACAACAGAGAGAGAGAGAGAGAGAGAGAGAGAGAGATCATTCTCACACTTCACAACAACACAGTTATGGCTCATTATGTCCTTTATGGGAAATACTTGACTTTTTTTTGTTTGTGTCAGTTTGTTTATTCAGTTTACTCTCATTTGTATTTCAGTTTTAATTTGAGTCATTTTAGAATTGATTTCTGTTAGTAGTAAAATTGACTTTATTTTTAAGTTTTTCGAAATGTAACAGTTTTAGGTTTTGTTAATGGTTCACGAAACCCTCGAGTACTTTTTTTGAGATGTTAACAGATTAGTGCGTGTTGAGCATCAGTTAAGACAATGTTAGCACCTGGAAAAACTGGATAATTTGCAGCTTTTGTCAGCTAATTTCAGCTTCTGGGTTTAGTGGTGATATTGGTGAAGTTATTATTATTTAATTAATTAATTTATTTATTTTTTCAAATGTAACACTTTTAGGTTTTGTTATTAATTATTATTTTGTGTCAATATTGTGCGTCAATACAGCTTAATACATAAAACTCAAAATTTAATTGAAAATTAACTATTAACTATTTATTTTTATTCAAATTGTTCATAATGTAACAGTTTTAGGTTTTGTTAATACTAGCAATACCGTGTGACAATACTGTGATCCAAAACTTAAATATATATTTTTCGAAATGGCGAGGCAGTGGCGCAGTAGGTTCGCCTCACAGCAAGAAGATCGATGGGTCGAACCTTGGCTCAGTTGGCGTTTCTGTGTGGAGTTTGCATGTTCTCCCTGCCTTCACGTGGGTTTCCTCCGGGTGCTCCGGTTTCACCCACAGTCCAAAGACATGCGGTACAGGGAATTGGGTGGGCTAAATTGTCCGTAGTGTATGAGTGTGTGTGTGTGTGTGTGTGTGTGTGTGTGTGTGTGTGGTGGGGGGGGGGGGGGGGGGGGGGGGGCGGGGGGGGGGTTTCCCAGAGATGGGTTGCGGCTGGAAGGGCATCTGCTGTGTAAAAAACATGCTGGATAAGTTGGCGGTTTATTCCGCTGTGGCGACCTAAGATTAATAAAGGGACTAAGCCGACAAAAAAAAGAATGAATGAATGATATTTTTCGAAATTACAATTATTTAAACTTTTTATATCTGTTGGTTGTTAAATTAACATTTTTAATTTTATTTTACATTTTTCATTGGTTATATTTTTTGCTAATAATATCAATACTAAGGGCTCTATTTTAAAAGCATTAAGCATTAAAAGGCGTTTCCGAATCCACTTTTACTATTTTAAGGATGAAGAGAAATGGTCTAAGAACCCTATCATACACCCGGCGCAATGTGGCGCAAGACGCGACACAACTGTTGTTTTGCTACTTTCAGCTCGGCGCAAGAGTCGTTTTGACATATTGCGCCACGCTGTTTAAATAGCAAATGCATTTGCGCTCATATGTAAGCCCATAGGCATTCTAATCTAAAAAAGCAGGCGTGTTTTGGCACGTTGCTATTTTGAGAAACAGTAATAGTCTGTTCTTTAGACCAGAACAAAGCCGGTCTAAAGTCCGGGGCAGAGTGCGCCTCGCTTACACACTGCTTAATACACACAAGATGTAGACCAATACGCAAATATCTTTACATATGAAAAATAATTAATATATTAAGGATATACAGGATATAATAAGAATATATATAGGATATAAATATAAAGGATTAAAATATTACAAAACACCTTATTGGAAAAAATGAACTGTGTGGCAATACTGTATTTAAAATGTAAAACTTCAAATTTAAAAAAGGAAAAAAAAAACGATTTCACAATATACCATTTTTTTAAAGCATTATAAATAACAACAATAATAATGAAGATAATAATAATAATAATAATAATAAAAATAATAATAATATTACCACCACATTTAAAGTCCTATTTTGATTTTCCCATAAAAAATTCCCATAAACGGCAGGTCACTCCTCAAACTGTATTTTCCTAACAATCAAAAACAAAACAATGTAAAAAGTGCCACGACCACAGTTCACACATCCCAGTTCACGTATTATCAAAACTATAAATACTCCTAAAAACAAATGACATTTCAAAACACAAATAAGACCTTCGAACCGCAAAGGTCAAAGCCTAAGAAAGCACAAACGATACTGGACAAACAGGAAGCACAACAACAGGTGACGAATATCAATGAGTCCAGGAAGTGAGGTCATCAGTGTAGGACCTGTGACACCATTCTTCCTGCCCTGTGTGTGTGTGTGTGTGTGTGTACCTGGACTCAGTCACGTTTCGAGCATTTCCAGTGCAGTTTATCTCCAGCATGTAGCCTTCACACACCGCTGGAGCACAAACCGACATGAAGTTTGGCCGCAGGCGTCCGATGGTGTACTTGGCCATATCGGTGAGAGACTGACTCACACACGCCCCGAACAGAAACGTCCCGACCACTTTATAGAGCGCTGCAGCGTACTGGTTGAAGTCTGAGTTTGAGTAAAGACGCTTGGTGTAGACCAGGTAAGCTTCGCCAGATATGATCTGCAGGAGAGAAAACCACACAGATTAGAGAAACAGTTATTTTTTTAATTGCAAGAAATAATGTCAGAATTCTGAGGAAAAGAGTTGCAATTTCTACATGAAAAGTCTGAATTCCCAGTTATGAAATCAGAATTCTGAGAAATAAAGCCGCAATTGCAAGTTATATAGTCAGAATTGCGAGTTTTCGGTTATGCCGCGGTCACACTAGATTGAGCATGCAAAATTCTGTAGCACGGCGCAGTGAAGAGGCGGGAGGTCATGTTTTGATCTTTGATTGGTCTCACACAGTCACGTGATGTGATTTCGCAGGAGTTCACCAAGCTTGAACTTTTTAATAAGGATTTCCAGATCCGATCACGTGATCGGAAATCGGACCTGATCACACAGTTTTTGCCATAGAAACTGTGAGATATGTCAACTTGGGATTGCCTGCCTGGTATCTGAGGTTGAGGTTAAGTTGAGGTGCTATTTGTTTTATATCAGATTTTTTTTTATTGACTATTGCACTGAAGTCCAAAAGTTAAAATTTAGGTTATTTATTACTTGATTGTTCAAGCTACCTACAGAAATGTACTGTTTGTTAAGCCTGAAGGCACATGACGTCATATTGACGTTATACCCCAACGTCATGAGGACCTCAGAACCCAACATCAGACCGACATCAATGTTTGACGTCAAACCTAAATTCAACCAAATACCAAAGTCTAATCATGTTACACCTTGACGTTGTGTGGACGTTACCACTATGACATTTACTGTATCAGATTTTGAATCTTGGATTAGGTCATTTTCTAACACAACCTACAATCAACCAAAAATCAACGTAATTTGATGTCGTTATTGAAAATTCTGCTAAATTCTGTAGCATGGCGCTGCGAAGAGGCAGGAGGTCATGTTTTAATTTTTGATTGGTCTCACGTAGTTGCGTGATGTGATTTTGCAGGTCAGAGTTCAACAAAGCTTGAACCTTCCAATAGAGATGTCCAGATCCCATCACGTGATCACGCAGTTTTAGACAATTGCCATAGAAACTGTGAGATAGATAAACTTGGGATTGCCTGCCTGGGATTTTCAAGTTGAGGTGCTGTTTGTTTTATATTAGATTTTTATATTTACTGTTGCACTGAAGTCCAAAAGTTAAAATGTATGTTATTTATTACTTAATTGTTCAAGCTACCTACAGAAATGCCCTGTTTATTAAGCCTGCAGGCACAGGACGTCAACATTAATACGTCATATTGACGTTATATCCCAATGTCATGAAGACATTGGATTTTGTTTGGAAATTAAAATCGGGTTGACGTCAGAACCCAATGTCAATGTCCAATGCTCAAAAGTAACTAAATATTAACATCGTTATTGAAAGTTAAAATAACATCTAAAATGAACGGAGGTCTATCCCTCCCAAATTTCATGATGTATTATTGGGCGTGTGCTTTTATAAATATTAACTCCTTTAACATCCCCTCTAACACTCTCCCCATTTGGTTAGCTATTGAAATGGAAGACTGTGATCCATATTTACCTGCAGCCCAAGTACTTTCACCTTTACCACTTGACAAAACAAAGGACATTCAAAACCCGATCATACATAATTTGTTTCGTAAATGGAAACAAATTAAATCACACTTTACCCACAAGACGTTACCTCTTTCTTTACCAATTGTTAAAAATCCATCCTTTCCCCCTTTTAATTTAGATCTGATGTTTACTAATTGGAGGAAATTAGGATTATGTTGTATCCGTGACCTGTATATTGAGGGTAAATTTGCTTCCTCTGCACAATTGCAAACAAAGTTCAAATTACATAACAATAATTTCTTTAGATATTTACAGGTTAGAGATTACATTCGAAAATTCATGCCAGATTTCGATACACAACCACAATCTATGCTTGATGAATGTTGCACTATATCCCCATATAAAAATAAATTTATCTCTAATATATATATAACAAATTACAAACAATACCCCCCCCCCCCCCCTCATCCAATAAATATAAGGATAGCTGGGAGAAGGACATGGGCACCCATATTCCTGATGACATCTAGGAAGAATCTTAGGAACACATACATTCCTGCTCCAATAATACGAGACATCGTCTTATACAATTCAAAATTATACATAGGCTTCACTTTTCAAAAGTAAAGATCCACAGCATTTTCCCAAACACTTTATCCAACTGTGATAAATGTCAGTCCCTCAATGCAACACTTTTCCATGCTTTTTTTCTTGCCCGAAGGTCACAAGCTACTGGTCTGATGTATTTAATGTATTGTCAAGAATTTTTAAGACTGCACTGTTACCTGAATCATTGTTGATTATTCTTGGCACATCAGAGTTATTTAGAAAATTTACCTCAGCCCAACAGCGGTTCATTTCATACTCTAATTACTGCAAAAAAAATAATAACTTTAGATGTCATGGAAAGGATTTGGCTTTGAGATCTCTCCAATACTTTACATCTAGAAAGAATTAGATATCTGTTGAAGGACAATCTCTCAGGTTTTTATAATATTTGGCAACCCTTCATAGACTTCTTCCAATCAGTATCTGTATAAACACGTATTTTCTTTCTTTTTTTTTTTAATATATAAACTTATTGTACTTCTTGCTACAAAATTGTATTATACTTCCACATTGTTTGTCTTTTCTGCTTTGTTTTATATGTATATTTACACAAAAATATTTGAGCCTTTTTTATATTGTTGACTGAAATTGTATAATATATATATATATATATATATATATATATATATATATATGCTCAAAAAAAAAATATTAAAATAACGTCCTTAAAGGCTGGCTAGACATTGAATTTTGGTTACCTGACGTCATGACCTAAATCTAACCTATTATTAACGTCTTATGATGTTGTGTGCTTGCGGGGTAACAGAGTTGTTGAACATTAAAACAAGGTGCATAAGATTCAAAATAAGGAACATCCTGGATCCGTTTCTTTGCTCTTTTGCTTTGTTTCTTTTTTTTAATATATTATAGAAGTATCGGATCGGGTTTCGGTATCCGTAGATACTCCAAATCAAATGACCCAAACTCGGACTTGAGAGCAAAAAAACCTGATCGGGACATCCCTACTTTCCAACACAGCAAACTGCAAAACTTGTCGCACGAGCTTGCGTTTCCAGTCTGTCGTATTCACATGTGCATGAATGGAAGTCTATGGCGAGAAAACTGTTATATGTTATGATTTATAAAAAGCACTTTGAATTGCCATTGTGTACTGAATGTGTTGCACAAAACTTGCCTTGAGTAAATATCTTTGTAGATGACTCACAGTGAGAGTTGATGAATCACACTGAACTAATCACAGTGTTCTCTCAGGACATCTGACAATAATACAAACCAACCTGCATCTTTACACAATCAAACACAACACAGAACATTCCTTTCAAAATCAACACAGCTGTCTCTTTCCTCTCCAGCAGTTATATGAAGTAATTTCCAAATTCTTTTGTCTTTGCCATGATGCCATTATATAATATTTGACTAGATATTTTTCAAGATACAAGTGTTACGCTCAAAGTGACATTTAAAGACTAAACCCAGGTTAATTAGGCTAGTTAGAGTAATTAAGCAAGTCATTGTATAATGATGGTTTGTTCTGTAGACAATGGAAAAATATATCCAGGTATATTGCTTAAGAGGGCTAATAATACTGTCCTTAAAATGCTCTAAAAATAATTAAAAACTGATTATATTCTAGCCAAAACAAAACAAATAAGACTTTCTCTAGAAGAAAAAATATTATCAGAAATATTTTGAAAAAGTTCTTGCTCTGTTAAATATAATTTGGGTAATATTTAAAAATAAATAAATAAATAAATAAATAACATTTTGACACAACTGTATAATAGTTGTATAAATACAACAGTTCTGTCTGGTTCTTGAATCTGATTGGCTGATAGCTGTGCAATTTTTTGCCAGTAACATCACACAAAGTCCTCTTCACCCTTCACCTTTGTGTATTACTCCGCCCACATACAGCCAGCAACAAGCAGAGACACTACAGTTTGACAAATATTACTGTTGTTAGACAAAAAATGTACTTTTAAGGCTTTTTTAGTCAAGAATGTAGTTGTTTAGATTGTAACTATGCAGTTCATTTGTAAAAAATAGTGCCTTGCTCAATGTGTTCTCTTGAGCGTGAAAAAAAGCTGAAAAACGGAAGCCTCATGGTTTTTAAGGAGGACCAGATAGAGTCAATAAGAAGCTGCAAATAAGAAGCTGGATTCAGCCTCGTACCTCCTTATCGCAAACACAACAGCAGTCTGGTAAGTTAGTGATTGCTCTGTTTTTCTCTGTTTGTTTTTACCTTTTAGATGTAAGCACGCATGTATGGGAGTTCAGTTCAGTATCACTCTTTTATTACAATAATGCAACATTTTATTTTGCGACGGATGTTTGAGTGTCTTTTCCTTTTGCCAACTCATTGGACTTGTAAGTCCAATATGAAAAGCGAAATAGTTTCTGTCTCCTTTTTTTATTCCTTAAAGTCTCCGGGTAAACGCTGGGACACCTTGCACCCGTCACAATACCGATGGCAACAGAGAAATACTGTAGACTGTAATATACTGTAGGGAGAAATCTCTGTAGACGAAGGGCATTTCATGTCACGTTCAGCATTATAATCTTAAAATGTGGCCAAAATTTATATGCTATAGAGAATCATTCAAACGCTAGCTCTAAAGTGACGTTGGTGAATTAGTAACGGCTTCTGCTGTTCTGACGTTATCTGCAGATGTGAATGAACGGCGGAAGAAAGTAGTTCCTAATACAAAAGGGTTTTAGACTATCTGTGTTTGATTTTCTTTTTTATGTACAAGGTTTATGTACAAAATCTCTGTTTCATATTCAATTCAAATCAAATGCGGTGCCACGCGAACTGTTCACCCGAGTCTCAAAAAATTCGATTAGCTCCACTAGGGGTTATTTCACAGACAAATGTCGTAATCGCAGTATTACAAGTCAAGAGCATATTCATGTAATACAAGCAATCGAATCTCTTTGCTCGTGCACCGATTTCCTGTTTGTGGACAAAACTGCAAATTTTCTCACTTTTAAATATACACTGATCGTGCACAAATGCACTTGTGCGCTCTAAGTACACTGTTCCCTCTTCCTTTTGTGTTTTTTGATATGATTTATATTAGTACACTATTTAATACCAATCACCAAAATACTAAAATAGACTTACATATTACATATTATTCAATTAATCTGTTGTGGTAATACCATAGTTGCTGTGGTAACACAACAAGTGTAACATAAACAAACCACCCAGTGCTGTAGTTTTTCTTTTACAATATAGGGTCTATTATTCTACAATTCACCACACTTTATTGTAGTAAAACAACACTGTATTTACTTTTATCAGTTAATACTACACTACAGTATGCTGTAGCATCTCTGGAGAGCAAAAGCACGAAAAGAGGAGGAAACACAAGACACAAAATATATGAATCCGCATTGTCCGACAGAGCTAGAGTAGACCGTTTACACATGAGCTGCGAGTGTTTTGAGTGCACGCAAGAAGTTGTCCACGAACAAAGGAAACTGGCGTGTGAGCAAAGAGATTCGCTCTCTAGTATTACATGAATGCGCTCCCGACTTGTAATACTGCGCTTACGACATTTGTCAGTAAAATATTGCCATACTCCGCCAGCCGAAATCACGTGGCGCGCAACCACAGGGAACCTCCGCAAACACATCGATGACATCACAGTCGCTGCGCGCATTGAGATTGGCTATTGCAAGTTGACCTTTTTTGATGTTGTAATTCTGCAAAATATAATTGGACAAGTAAAATAAAGTACTACAACACCCCGAAAACCTAGCGACAACAACAAATCATAATTTAAATGAACATTAATGTTATATGAACATTATAACAGCGTTACATGGACATCGGAAAAATAAGAACTGTGCAAAAATATTTAAGACCTAGAACAGCGAATTTAAGACTTTTTAAGGCCTTAAATTTTGATTTTTAAATTTTAGACTTTTTAAAACCATGCGAAAAACTTATAAAAGCAATATCACATGAGTAGCAGTGCGATGTGGCTGTATATTGGCACTAGTGGGAGGCGTGCATTAGTGTTATACCAGTGATGATATAAAGCCACATCGCACTGCTACAAGTGTAATATTACGTTTATACAACAATTAAACAGCATAATCATGTGTATAAAAAAGAAAATCAAACATGCAGAGTCTCAAAACCCTTTTGTATAAGGAACTACTTTCTTCCGCCATTTATTCACATCTGCAGCTGACGTCAAAACAGCAGAAACTGTTACTCATTCACCAACGTAACTATAGAGCTAGTGTTTAAATGATTCTCTAGCGTAATGTCTAAAGTGATGACAAAACAGATGATTTGCTCACATTTTAAGATTATAAGGCTAAACATCATGAAATATCATCAGTCTACAGAGATTTGCCAGTATTTCTCTGTTGCAATCGCGAGATCACAATATTACTATATTATAAATACAGCACTACAACATACAAAAGAGAGAGATGGACTTAAAAATGTACTTATTTAATAATGATTTGATCAGCTGTAGTTTGAAATTACATTGTTTTTCTCTAGGGCTTATTATGCGTTCTGTCGTCATCTTGTGGATGAACATTGTCAACCGTTTTTGCTCAAGGACAGGCTGATGGCCGCCAGTCTTTCAGAAATGATAAATATTTAAAATAGGCACTATCTTTATAAATAAACTGTATAGTTGCCATCTAAACAACATTCTCAACTAAAAAAAGCCTCAAAAGTACATTATGCTGTCCAACAGCTGCAATATTTGTCAAACTGTAGAGTGTCCTCTGCTTGTTGCTGTATGTGGGCGGAGTTGTTATTGTGGGCTGTTATTGGCAGAATATGGCACGGCTATCAGCCAATCAGATTCAAGAACCACACAGAACTGTTATATCCACTATTACTCCTAAATTAAAAGAAAAGAAAATTCTCCCGAAGACAAATATAATATTATATACTGTGAAAAAAATCCTTGCTCTGTTAAAATCACTTCAGAAATATTTGGGGAAAAAAAGTCCATTTTAATTTTAATGTCTTTGCTTTCAGCTATATGCCACTGCAAAGGTATTTCCAACTTGAGTTAACTTCTAATAAAAGATTGAAATAAAACTACACTCTGAGTATAGCGAGACACCGAGCCACATTAAATCTCATGTGCATGAATGTGAGAAATATATTTCTGCTGCAGTTCACTGAATGGCCACCAGTGTCGCTAAAAACAAGGCTTTCTGAATTTTGTCGTTTAACCATTGAGACTTACGATAATGACGGAGCAGGAGATGGTGACGGCCGCCATCATTTTGTGAGAGATGGTGTCTGGTCTGTAGGGGTATTGGATGGTCTCGTCGTTGCAGTAAACACCACGATGGTACGGCCGGTACATGATGGTCATTATGATGAATGGCATCGCCACTGAAACACAAACAACAGAGTCATTATTGAGCTCAGATAGCCGGCTCAGGAACGCACATCAAAATAAATCATCAGACATGGATTAGATTAGATTAGATTAGATTAGATTCAACTTTATTGTCATTACACATGTACAAGTACAATGCAACGAAATGCAGTTTAGGTCTAACCAGCAGTGCAATAGCAGCAAGTGCAGGATACAGGAATAAGTTATAAAGTGCAGTTATAGAAAACTATGGTGATATGGTGATATTTACAGATGGCACACTGTTTCAACATTTAATCTATACACCACACTTTTTGGATACTAGTATTTTTTTTACTAATACATATTCAGTAGCTACAAAATAAGTGCCTTTTCATTATGAAAGCGATTATTAATTTTGCTAAATATTATTTTATTTTGGTTTGTTTTCAGTGCCAGTTTTAGTTTTTAATTTATTGTGATTTTTTTCTGCTTTTAATTTTAGTAAATAACATTTATTTGACAAATAGATTTAGTCTATAATTTAAATATTATTTTGTTTCAGGTTGTTTTTCGATGCCTGCCTCAGTTTTTAGTTTTTTTTTTTTCATTTATTTATTTCTTGTTTTCAGTAAATAAACTCATTTTAGTTAATTATTTTATGTTAATTTTATTTCAGTTAATTTTTTGTGAATTTCGTGAGGTACATTCAGTTTTAGTTTTTCATTTATTGTGTTTTTTTCTAATATTATTTTAAAGAAAATATTTTTTTGACAGTTTTAGTTTTGTTTAAATTGAAACAATTTGTTTATTTTTTGTTTATTATTTTATTTTGTTTTTCGTTTAATTCAGTTTTAGTTTTTTTTGTTTATTGTGTTTTTTTATTTTGTTTCAGTAAATAAAATTTTTGACAAATTTTTTTAGTTTTAGTTTAAATATTATTTTACTTAGTTTCTTTTTCAGTGATTTTTATTAATAATTATTTTACTTCAGTTCATTTCTTAGTGACTTGTAAGTTTTATTCAGCTTTAGTTTTTATTGTTTTCGTTTTCTAATTTGATTTCAGTATATTACCTTTTTTGACCAATATTTTTAGTTTTATTATTATTTTCATTTCAGTTCGTTTTTAGTTTCATTCAGTTTTAGTTTTTCATTTATTGTGATTTATTTTCTAATTTTATTTCAGTTATTGATAATTTTTTTAAATATAGTTTTAGTTTTTGTTTAAAACAAAATGGTTTATTTAATTCTTTCGTTTCGTTTATTATTTTATTTCGGTTTGTTTTTCAGGGATTTTTATTTGTTTGATTAAGGTTTTTTTTTGTGATTCTTTTCCTAGTTTTACTTCAGTAAATTATTTTTTGCTTTCGTTTGATTATTGTTTTATTTCACGTTGTTTTTCCATTTAGTTAAAAAATTTCATTCAAAAAACGACTTTGCTTCATGTTCGTGTATCTGTGTTTGCACTTGGTGATCAGCGGTGAAGAGTGGGGAACCAATGACCTTCAATCACAGTCATTTCTGTTGAGCACATGAACACGAAGGCCAATCAGCAGTGTTTAAGAACATGCTCAACAGCGCTCAAATGGTAGCAGGAAATGGACGTTTTTAAAATTTCAGTACCACACGGTACCAAACTCGATACTTTTGACATCACTATAGTAAATCCTGCGATTCAATTATTGTCAATGTTCACATTGGCTCTTTCTCAATTACAAGAACACAGGACTCGCTTTCTTGTGGAGAATGGTCTTGTTAAGTTACTGTATCTCAGAAGAACAAACTCAGGAGATGCTGCGTCAAATGTCAAAACTGTTAAAAACATTACAGCATTTTTACAAATTATAGTATTTTTTTATTTTTAATATACAGTACGGGCAACATGGTGACGCAGAGGGTAGCACTCTTGCCTCACAGCAAGAAGATCACCGGTTCGAGCCTCGGCTGGGTCAGTTGGCATTTCTGTGTGGAGTTTGCATGTTCTCCCCGTGTTTGCTTGGGTTTCCTCTGGGTGCTCTGATTTCCCTCACAAGTCCAAAGACATGTGGTTAGGTGAACTGGGTAGGCTAAATTGTCCGTAGTGAATGTGTGGGAATGAGAGTGTATGGATGTTTCCCAGTGAAGGGTTGCAGCTAGAAGGGCATCCGCAGCGTAAAACATATGCTGAATAAGTTGGTGGTTCATTCCGCGGTGGCGACCCATATTAATAAAGGTACTAAGCCGAAAAGAAAATGAATAAATGGATATACAGTACTGTGCAAACATTTCAGACCAACACTAAATCTGTTGTTTTCCTGCTGGTATAATGGATAAATGTGACAAAAAACGTCATAAGTGTAAACGTTTTCATCAATTTTTTATATTGAGATTAATACAGGGTGAATAAATGATGTTTGAGTTGATGTATGGTTTGCTAGGAGAGGAGTTTGGTTGGAGTTTGAATTATTTTGGTTTAACTGTTTAAGACATGTGAAATAATGTTGGAGAGAGGCTGTTTGCCCTGGTTTGAGCTGCCTTTGTACCAGTGTTGTTAGCAATATTGTCTGGATTGATGGAATTGTGAATGTTGAAAAGTACAGATAGGTTTTAATCTATTATAGCATTCCTTCTGGAAAAGACTTCAGTGGTAATAGTTTAAATTTTCAGCATGATAATCATCCGCTAATTGCAGAGAAAATCTATTTGGAAAAAGAAAACAGCTGATGAAACGGTCATGAACTGGCCTCCACAGTGTCCAGACCTGAATATTATGGAGACTGAATGAGGTGGACAGAAAAAGAAAGATAAGACACTCTAAACCTAAAGAAGAACTCTGGAAAGTGCTGCTATAACACAGCCTATTATTATTTCAGAAAATGTCAGGACGATTAAAACAAAACAGTTCAAGCTGTGCTTGAAGCCAAAGGAAGCCACATTAAACATAGACTTTTGCTGGAAGAGGAAATGTTAATCTGTTGTGGTTTTACTGAACATATTTCCTATATTTTCTGTTTGTTTTTTAATAAAAGAGGCTGATTGATTATATAATTGTGCAAAAGTCTTAGGCCAACATAGCTGGTATACTGCTTAGGATAAGCCCTGAACATGTACTTTGCACAATACATTAATTCATTCTCCTTCAGCTTAGTCCCTTATTTATCAGGGGTCGCTATTCCAGCATATGGCTTACGCAGTGGATGCCCTTCCAACCACAACTCAGTACTATTGATGATCATACAACGAAACACAAGAACGTAAGATCACTTAAGGACACATATTGAGAAACAGGCATTGAGATATTGATGCTGAAACGATATATAGTGCAGTCCTAATAGGAAACAGGCCTCACAATGTGAAAATGGACACAGCGAGTGTAGAACAGATCACAAGGCTTTCCACATCAAGACACTGACTAATCACAAACATCTAACATATGTTGTGGATTCAGAGATGCTGGAAAACCCTCCGGATTCAGGAAGAATTATGACCAGGGTCACGGCACCAGATTTCATTTCATCAGATGCCCACAACAGTATCTTGTAACCAGGAAAACACAGACTTATGAGTCCAACACGTGCATATCTACTATTTTTTTAATCATGAGAACCAGGGAATATTTATAAACTATGGAGCTCCTTTCCCATCGGACGGCAAAAAATGGCCATCAGATTTTGCACCGATTGTCTAGGGGAAAATGATCTGTGGATAAAAAGGCTGAGGGAAATATATTTGCAGAATCTCAGAAGTTCATCAACATATTTTATATTCCCAAAGCAATGCTAACTTTTCCAAGGATCAGGACCTTGGAGTCCAGTCATATTGTGTTACTTGGATCCACACACACACAAGCGCTGAAGCAGATGTACTGAACCAGATGACAGATTCAAAGTCAAAGCAAGTTTAAAGATGTGCTCTCAAAAGGCTCTTAAATGTGGCCTTTAGAAGTTTTTTGGATACTTAACTTAAATGTGTAAATGTCACTGCACTGGAAACATCAAACCATTTATGTCAAATAAGGTCAAAACATGCAAACTCTATGAAGAAAACTTGCTATAAAAATTGTTATAGGCTAGGAATGTTTATTTTTTAACATAAATCGTTCAAAGTGATTTATGTGAATTATCAAGAAAGGATAAAAAGACAAAACAAGTGTAGTTGTCATTTTAAAAGTAATCAAATTAAATAAATAAACATATGAAGTTACAAAGTCTTGCTGCCTTTCCAAGTTTTAGGAACAACAAGAAATAACTTGACTTCTAGTTGATCATTTGATATCAGTAGTGGCTTTTATGAAAGGCAAAGACCTCTAGATTACACTTATTTGACTAAAATAAAATATGATCATGGCTTGATTTTTAATGATTTAATTAGGACAGTAAGGTCTGACTTTGCTTAGACAGAAGTCTTGTCACTTCACAGAAATAATGTCCAGTATAGAATATAAAGTCATACTGCAGTGGAAAAAGAATGCATATTGTATCTGAATCCCGTTGGCTTGGAGGACTGCATCCACACATCTCTGCAATGACTCAAATAACGTAATAATAAAGTCATCTGGAATGGCAAATAAAGCTTTTTTGCAGGACTCCCAGAGTTTAAGATTCTTTGGCTTCATCTTCAATGCCTCCTCCTCCATCTTACCCTAGACATGCTCAATAATGTTCATGCCTAGTGGCTGGGCTGACCAATCCTGGAGAATCTTGACCTTCTTTGCTTTCAGGAACTTTGATGTGGAGGCTGAAGTATGAGAAGGAGCGCTATCCTGCTGAAGAATTTGTCCTCTCCTGTGGTTTGTAATGTAACGGCAGCACAAATGTCTTGATACCTCAGGCTATTAATGTTGCCATCCATTTTGCAGATCTCTCACATGCCCCCATACTGAATACAACCTCAAACCATGATTTTTCCTTCATCAAACTTGACTGATTTCTATGAGAATCTTGGGTCCATGATGGTTCCAAAAGGAATTGTGATGATTGGGATGCAGTTCGACAGATGATTCATGGGAAAAATCTACCATCTGACATTTCTCCAAATGATCAACCAGTTATTAAGT